AGAATTTTGTCCAGGACCCCTCCAAAGCTAATTTCGACGTCCTAAATCCATTTCTGACATCCGTTTTCCCAAATTCAATTGTTATAGTAGAGTTTTATTAATTGGACCCTTTATGTGCTTAGTGGCAATTATTGTGGCATTTCCGTCTTCGCTAGTTTGCGTGGCTCTTCAGCGGCGAAGTATTTGTGAGTGGACCCCTTCAAAAATGCATGTTTTAATATTAGAAATGCATACATGAAAAGCATGATTTAACGATTATGTTTTATGAAATGTTTTGTGAGATAACATGTTTACTAAGGCTAGATTAAAGTATTACTATTTTTCCTATAACCCACGTCCTTATAGAATATATGATGGATGACGATATGATATTTAAAACATGTTTCGAACATCTCTTTATAGTATAGATGATAGATGACTTTATACTATGAAGTTGCTTTTCAATATATATATGTTCAATGGTTTTGTACTTACCTAGTGGCCCTTTCTGCTACGAGACATAGAGATAGATTTCGGTCCCTCCTAGGCGACGGTTTGGTGTTGGCATAGGGCATGGAGTGTGTCTCCTCTAGCTATTTAGCATAGGGATGAGGAGCCGGCATGGGGCATGGGGGTAATTTTCCTCTGACTGTCTGCTCAGAGACGGGGAGCCAGCATGGAGCCTGGGGGTTATTGAACATTCACTAGTGATTATTATATATACAAGTTATGATTTGAGGCATTGCATGGTATGCTAGGCTTCGGAAAACCTATGTTTATCATGATCAAGGTCTTAAATACCGATAATATCAGCGATATTTCGCCGATATTATCGATTTTTCACGTTACCGATATTTTAATAGGTATCCAACGGGTTTTCGTCAAAATATCGCAATATTATCAATAATATCGATAATATCGCGATATTTCCAAAACTATCGCGATATTTTAGAACTGTGCTAATTGGAGAAGAACGCTGGAGCTTCTACAGCTCCGGCCAACTGTAAAAGAGCACCCTAGACTCCGATCTAGGTATGAAAATGAAATAGAAGACGAGATGAATGTTTTTATAAATTTTGTTTGCCGTGAAACTATCGGAGGTGTTTGGAAAGTTCGTCGACACCCACGGCCTCGCCGGAGATGGGTGTGCCTATTTCCGAGCCAATTTCGTCCCAAAAACCTTGCAAAAACACGATTTTGAACTTAAATTTCACATATAAGCTTCAATCTAGAACGGAAAGAGGCAAACCCGAAGCTTACCTAACCGGAGAAATTCAAGAAACTCGCCGGAGTTCCTGCGTTCGCCGAGTTGCAGAGACGAGAAAGAGAGGGAGAAAGACGCGGTTGCTGGTGATGATGGGTGTCTTCCTGAAGCAGGTGCGATGGTGTGCGTGTGTGTATGTGGGTCTCGGACCCTCGGTGCAAAGAGAAAGGAGAGAGACGGCGCCGACGAGAGAGGAGCAGAAGGAAAGGTGGACTTATTCTCGAAGATTTGAGATGAGAGAAGCTGGAATGAGGATCGGCTACAAAAGAAGTGGAGACTAGGGTTGTGCTTTTGTGCACTGGAAGGAAAGGTTCTGGAGGCGGCAAGAGGAAAAGATGGTAGAGAGTGAGAGTGATAAAAGTGAGAGTTTTAATGGGGAGAGGAAAAGATGGTATGGAGAAAGAAAGAAAAGTAAATAAAAATATAAAAAGGGATGACAAAACCAAGATCAAGGCACACGAATTAAGAGTAGAAAATTAAAGAAAATATTAAAATGATTGATAGAAAAACTTTACAAAAGAGAGAGAGGGAGAGAGAGATGGAGTGTTTGAGTCTGACTGATGACTACACGGGGAAGAGGAACCGAGAGAGTGGGTCACGCGGACCAACGTCCAACAGAGAAAGAATATTAAAATAAAATTACTACATATTTTCTATACTAACAATGTTTGCCAGCTTGCTATATAATCAACTTAAATCAGTTAAATCCATCATGCAATGCATTTCCTTCCAATTTTTTGTGATAAACTAATAGATAATTGACTAAATAAACATCCTGCAAAGTTTCAATAAAAATTTCCAAGTTTTTCTTACAATTTCCGTGGTTTCCATATTATTTTTATCGATATCGATAATATCCCGATATTTCCATCGATATTTCCGTGTTTTCGAACTACCGATATTTCCGATATCATCGATATTTAATACCTTGATCATGATATATATGTGTTTTCATAAAACTTGGGGGTTAGTACGTTGATAACTGTTTTATTATATATATATATATATATATATATATATATATATATATATATATATATCAACTTAGTTCACTCATGTTTGTTTTGCACCCCCTTCAGGACTCAGAATCGAGGCATACAATCCTGGCGTCAAGGCACTTCCGCATGGGCATCTTCGAGTCCTCTCGGTGTAGGACTCACTCCTTTGTTCATTCAATTTTATATTATTTCTTTTAGTGTTCTAGTTAGTTGAACACATTCCTTAAATGCATATTCTTTATTCTTTTATATTTATAAACCTTATCTATTCTTTGTTTTCAACATTTGCACTCAATAAATGGCTTTTGTCACCCTCGGATGTCGGCCAGAACGTGCCTATCCTGGTATTCGGGGAAATATCGAGATCGGGGCGTGTCAATAGTAGTAGTAGTAGTAGTAGTAGTAATATTAATATTTTGCAAATGGCAAGGATACCTCTACATATTTTACAAAATTATAATCTTTGCCCCTACATTATTGTCTTTGATAATTATTATATCACATTAAATACCATATCATTTTTAGGCATTCAATATATTCACATCAATTTATATAAAAGCACAACAATGTTTCCAAACACTCGGACATTATTTTTTCTTTTTTCTTTTTCTTTTTGTTAAAAACACTTTTACAAAAAAAGAAATGTTTACGAAATATTCAAGAACTTTATTTTACAGCTGTTTATTATCACAGCACATCATAAGCAGTTTTTTCTTTTTAAAACACAATAATAACAAACTAGCCCTAAATGGGAAACCCCACAAAAGGGCTCCTGAAAATAACTTTGATGGTTCAGTTATGAACTCCACAACTACAATTGGTTTTATAATCAGGAATGAAGATGAAACTTCGATTGTGGTTGGAGCTCGTTGTCTTGGGGATAACACAATCTTCATTACTGAAGGTTTTGCCTTGATAGCCCCTCTTTGGATGGCAAACGGAAGAAGCTTTAGACGGGTCTGTGTAGAGAGTGACTCAAAACATGTGATTGATGAGGTCAAGGGTGATTGTGCTATTCCTTGGCGATTAAGAGATTATTGAAGATATCAATTGGTTGGCTTCTTCCTTTAATTCTATTAATTGGGCTCATGTTTACATAGAAGCAAACTTCTTGGCAGCTCTATTACTAGTACATGGTTTCCATTTAATGGTTTTTATATTTGGGATAGGTCGTTGCATGTTGTGCAAAAAAGGCTATTTATTTTTATTGTATTAGAATTGGTTGTGACCGTAGTCATTCTATCTAATTAATTATCTTCTTTCATTAAAAAAAAATTGGGCTAAGACGAAAAAGCTTGCATATTGCGATGCAGTAATTTAGTTAAGTGAAGAAAGATATATCCTCAACCTCAAGTGTAGCATAGAACAAATAAAACATATCGTGAAGTTGAGTGAAGAGCAATGCAAGAGGCGTAAAACAAAAAAATTCAGCCCTTGCATATTTGTCCTCCGACCGCCGATTTGGACCCGCAATACACTGTTCAAGGAGAAGAACATCGAGAGCTAAAATTTTGTTCTGAGGGTGTATTGGAAATTTTATATTTCGTTTTTTTCTAGAGTTTGAAGTAGGTTATTAAAGAAAGTGCAACAATAGAAGTACGTAAGGAGGGATTGAGACATGCTCATTATCCCGTTACAACCCATATAAAAAGTTTTGAAGGTGCAGGGTACATCTGTGTTCTTTTTTCTTTTCTTTTTTTGAACAAAAGGGTACATCTAAGTGTTAGGTTGGGAGTAATCAAATAACTTGGTTACTATTGAAAACCAAAGGAGGGGGCCATGGATTGAGTAAACAATTAAACAAGCAACACAAAGGGAGACCAATCATGTAGAGCTTGTACAATGTTCCTTTTCCATTAACTTTTACTACTAGTCGGATTATATGAAATTGTTGTTGATAATTGAATTATTACTTAAGTATAAATAAACATATTTATTTTCTATTAATGACTTATCACATAATTTACAAATGTAATTTAAAAGTTGATGAGCCATGCATTACTCCAAAAAAGTAGCCTATCACACTATTCAATTGTGCTGACCATTTGGACAGCCTGGCATGTAGGTGACCTCATTACATTGCACCACTATTTTAAGTCACTCCGAGTTTAAAAGAGAGGTAAACCACTAATAAGGGGAGAGAGAGAGAGAGAGAGAGAGAGAGAGAGAGAGAGAGAGAGAGAGAGAGAGAGAGAGCAATTTAATTAGAAGTTTTATCATTATGATTTTTGTGACATCGCTATGTAGAATTATGTATCAAGTATACTCATATTAGCATATTTAATAGTGATGAAAGTTGTTTTAGAATGGGCATTTTATATTCTTATTGTTCGAAAATTCTCTAAAAACTAGTACATAATCATCTTGGTCCAAAAATGCAAGTAAAAATACAAATCAACACCTTTTTTTTTATTTGTTAGTATCTTTACATATTTATATTAATTGTAATACTCATATTATAACATATCAACTAATAACAACACGCAAGAGTGTGATTATCACATTTAAAAATTTCTCCAATTTAAGGTCACCTCAAATGTGATTTGATATTAATTTTTTTCTTTGACACAGTCCATCCTCATCTCCAAAGTAACCTCTCTCAGATTAAATGGGCCTACACCAATTGCCTTCCTGGCTGAAATAGTCCCCCTAGAAGTAAAAAAAAGAGGTAGAAAGAAAGCAGCAAAGAAAGGGATTTGAGAAGGAAAAAGACCACACACAAAATAAAAGAAGATAGGTAGGAGGAGATGTTCATGATGATGGGCACCAGTACTACTACTCCTCCTAGCCCAGAAAATATCAGAAATATTGAAACCACCACCTCCACTTTCCCAACCTGGAAACTTTACGAAAACCCTTCTTATAATTCTCATAAACTTCATCAAAATCCACTCCCACGACAACAAAACCAGCAGCAGCAGTGCCGAAACTTTAGCAACAAGCAACAAGAAGTCCACCACTGCCTGCACCTCCCCATCTCCGCCCGCAAGCTCGCCGCTTCCTTCTGGGATCTCACCTTCTTCGAGCCGGCAATGGAGTCCGAGATGGATTACACGCGAGCCCAGATCACCGAAATGAAGGCGAAGCTCAAATACGAGCGAAAAGCGCGCAAGAAGGTGGAGATTTCAAACAAGATGCTGGCAAAAGAGTTGGGGGAGGAGAGAAGGTTGAGAAAAGCGATAGAGAGGGTTTGCGAGGAGCTTGCCGGAGAGATTTCTTTCGGGAAGTCGGAGATCATTAGGATCAGGAAAGAGATCGAGGAGGAGAGGAAAATGCTTCGAATGGTGGAGATGCTGAGAGAGGAGAGGCTTCAGATGAAGCTCACCGAGGCGAGGCTTCTGTTCGAAGAGAAGGTGTTAGAACTGGAGGGGTGTAAACAAATGCTGAGCGCTGCAGAGAACTCACATTTCAAGATCAAACACAAGAGTGAGGACGCTAATGTTGCTAGTTTTAACAATTCGAGTGAAAAGTCTGGTGCTTTTAGCGGTGATCGAAACAATGACTCTGTTTCCAGTTTTTCTACTGCAACTTCAAGGGAAGTGCTTTTGGGTGAGAAAGCTGCTTTTAGTGAAAACAGTGGAGGTTTTTCATCAATGGCAGTTCAGAAAAGATCCTCACCAGAACCAGAAAATCCTCACATAAAGAGAGGGATCAAAGGATTTGTTGAATTCCCAAGAGTTGTCAGAGCAATTGGATCAAAAAGTAGGCATTGGGGTACAAAGCTGGAATGCCAAAAAGCTCAGCTCAGAATTCTGATGAAGCAAAAGAGCCCCATTAGATCCAATAGTTTCATTATTAGTTGAAAGATCATAATGTGAATTGGAAAATTGGCCAAAATAATCGTTTTTTAAATTTTAATTGCTGGAAATGATTAGTTTCTCGGTATGTCTCAATATGTCGTCCATATCTATTTGTTTTGCCGTCCAATTTTATGGTTATGTCGTTGATCAATCCAGCAATTAAGATTTGATTTCTGATTACTTTAGCCGATTTCTCATGTTAATTTATTCTTGATTATCTTTTTCTTATGTGGATTATTGAAAGAGTGGTATGATTTTGTGCTTATTGTACATTTTATTGTATGATGAAATTAGTCTGAAAAATAAGTCTTGTTTTGGATCTGATCCAATCTTCAAAAATTTTGTAGACTTCTATAGTAAATGTGTGATGCTTTTGACTTGTGAAGAACACATGCACATGCTTCAATTTTAGTCCACTCAAGTGTGTGTTTGTACATTTTTGAGTTTTGAAGACACCTACACATGCACTGATATGCACAAGCTTCACTTTTTATTTCACTTGAGACTCTGCATTTTTAGTACATGAATAAGTATATGGTTTATAAAACAGATTATATGGAAATGTTTTAGGTCTTGGATTTAAAAGAGGTGGAAAGTGCCTGAGGGTTACATAGAAACAGCGGCAATGGCAGCACGTTATTCTGCAGAGTGATGCCTTAGAAGTGGTTCAAGCTATTAGGATTTTCTGCCATTGGTTTATTAATTGAGGATGTCAAAATTAGCTTGCGGAACTTCTCTACTGTGAGTGTAAGTCACAAACGTAGATCCGCCACTTTAACGGCGTATAGATTGGCTATGTTGGCCTTAATTTCTACCGTTTCTAGTCATTGTTTCGAGATGCCTCCGACTTCTATTCAGGATGCCATCCTTCTTGATTGAATAGGGACTGTGCATTGCCTTTATCTATTCAGGATGCCTCCGGCTTCACGTCTTGAACCCACTTCAGATAGTTTCTTCCAGAGACTTCTAGAGCTGAGAAATCAAGCTTGTTCAAGTTCAACATGTCCCTAAAACAGAGGGAAAAACGTGATTAGTCATATGGAAGCCATAGACATATATCATAGAACATACAGGTTCTATAGACATGTATTGGTTTAATTTATACATGAAAACTACAGGTTTCATTGGTAAGTTTTGAATGAAAACTTCAGGTTTCAAAGGCACTAAATTTGAAACTACAGGTTCAATTTAGATGTTATGAACAATTAGTTCATAATGAGAGGTTCATGCAAGAAACACAAAATGCAATATACTAATTTAAATATAGTGGATTTGAGGTTCTTTGGGAACTCAAGTGTGAGAGCTTCGTTACTACGAAAGTATGTCATAGTTCAAAGTATAAAAATAAATTATTGAATCGTTAATGTCCAAAAGTGATCTTTAGGTCAATAATTTTGAATTCATTATCAGATTAATGGACTGCATGTCACTTTTAATTAATTCAATAAATCGGACCATACATGGTCGATTGTAGAAGCTAAATAATATTAAAATAATATTATTAGATCGAAAATAAAGCCCCAAAAATTATTTGGGCTCGGGTTGGGTGCCTTGAGTAAAAGGTAAGGCCCAAAAGGGCCTCAGGTGTGAGTTGCAGGCCACATGGGGGGCGGGAGAAACCCCAGCCGTAGTTGAGTTTCAATTTTTGGGCCTAGGGGAGGGCACGAGACAAGGCGCAGAGAAAGCTGGCCTATGGGTTTGGCGTGGGAAGCCCAACTGCATAGGTTGGCTGCATGTGATAAGCGGAGTGGGCCGCAGGGACCAAGCCCAACCTTGTGGGCTGGCGTGGAGGACACGGGTCATGACGTGGGCCAAGGTACAGGTTGCGGGTCTGGGCAACACAAAATCCAGCAACCATAAAGGTTGCTGCGTGCAGGGGAAAACCTAGCCAATCTGGGCTGGTTGAATGGCGTGGGCCATGGTGCAAACGGGCGAAGGGCTTCAGGCCCATCAGATTGACCCCAGGCCGAGGCTTGGTTTCTGCATGCACAATGATGGTGCGATGGGTGTGCCGCACCATGTCTAATTTCTTCTTCTTTTTTCGAAATCCCTTTGGGTTGAGGAAACCCTAAATATGCTTCTAATTTAATTTTATATATTGACTCACATATTCCACATAACAATTTAATTGTGCGATGCATGAAACAAATATATATTGACAAATATATGAACATATACAATATATATATCGAAAGGAAAATATAAACATAGACGGGTTCATGCATCATGGGAATGTTTTCATACTTTGTGGACATTTCAAATATCTTCTTTTATTTTAAGCATACCTGATTAGCAGAAAACAAAAATAAGCCTTTGAATTTGGTGGAAGATAGCCTCCTCCTACGATGCATCAATTCCTCAACTTCTGGCAAGAGCATGTTGATAACGTATTGTATGCCTATTTGATTGAACGATCTAAGGTTTAGAGAGAGAGAGGTGGCCGTCAATATTGAGGGGGAAGAAAGAGGCATTTAATTGTGAGGTGTGTTTGATTCACCCCATTGTGCCTTTATTTATTGTAGTAGGATAGGTAAACATTTCCCTTTAGGATTACAACATTAATAGGTAATCTACTTCTAATAGGAATATAAGATACATTCCCAAATCTACTAGGATTTACACAATCACATTCTTAGTCTAAATATGTCTGCAGCAAATCTCTACTAATTAATAAAATCTTCTTTGTCAACCAAAAGAGGGTGAAAAGACAAATTAGTCTTCTATCACACAAAAAAAATGATGGGCAATAATGTAATTTTACATGTCCAAATTTTACTATTTTTTATTGAAGCCTCACTTACAGGTGATGTTAAAATACCTCCAATATTAAAAAAAAAAAACAAAAACCTCCCACTCCCCCTCTCTCCTTCTCATTTTCTAAAAAAATGTGTTCATACACACAAAGTGTGTAGGCAAATGATAGTAATAATAATAATAATAATCTTTACTAATTAATAAAACACTCATTGTCAACCAAAATCCTATGAAATTATCAATTTAACCCTCAAATTAAAACATAACATGATTAAGAAATATAGGGCAGAAATGTAATTTCACACAACCAAATTTTGATGTTTTTATTTTCAAAGCCTCACCTACATATAATCCTAACATATCTCTAATTAAAAAAAAAAAATTTAAATATTTCCACTCCCACATTCTCTATCACTCTCTTCCCTCTCCTTCTATTTCAAAAACAAAAATAAAAAAATTTCTCACACTTTGTGTGTGCCCATTCTAGTAGTAATAGTAATAGTAGTAGTAGTAGTAGTTGTTACACCCCACCCCCAATTTTAAATGATTTTTTGGTGTTAAATGGTGTGCCCAAGGGGCCCACCCCTGTTTTGGTTGTCCCCGGCCCCCTTTCCTAGTTTGCCACGTGGCAGTTCCTCGCACTCCCATTTCTTCTCTTTTCTCTCTCCCGGTTCTCTCTTCCTTCTCTCCTTGAAACTATCTCGATCACTATCTCTGTCTCTCCCTTATCCCTCCCTACATCTCTTTACAACTCCCCCTTCGAGACCACCAAGCCTCAAGAAGCCAAGAATCCCAAACCCTCACTCCTCTCGTCCTGGTCAACACTACAATTGTGCGTGCAGGGTGGAATATCGGCGATTTAACTCAGAATCCGACAAACCGAATGTGAGTCGATGTGTTTCGAGTTGCATCCTTGTTCTAGTGAGTTATTTTGAGTTGTTTAAGTGACTTTGGAGATGAAAATCGAGGGTTTTTAACCCTATGCATGCATGTTCTTCTTTCCTCAGTTTTCCGACGAGCACCGCCCGTTTCGAGGCAATTTCCGGCCAAACCACGGCGAGTTGGCTGGTGTGCAAGGTATCAATCTCTTCGTCTCCCACTACAACTTTTCTTTTTGAATCACCCAATTTCGTTGAGTATTGAAGAAGTTATGTCCATTTGAACCCAGTTTCCGACGACCTTCGAGGCTTTCGAGGCATTTTCCAGCCAAACCACGCCGAGTTAGACATCTTGCGAGGTACCATTCTCTTCGTCTCGTCAAGAACTATAATTTTCGTTTTTGAATCACTCGATTTCGTTAAGTATTGATAAAGTTATGAGCATTTAAAGTTTGTCCAACTTTCTGGCCAAAATCCGGTATATGATATGATATGCCCAAAAATTTCTTGGTATGTCTCAATATGTCGCCCATATCTATTCGTTTTGCCGTCCATTTTTATGGTTATGCCGTTGCTCAATCCAGCAATTAAGATTTGATTTCTGATTAGTTTAACCGATTTCTCATGTTAATTTATTCTTGATTATCTTTTTCTTATGTGGATTGTTGAAAGAGTGGTATGATTTTGTGCTTATTGTACATTTTATTGTATAATGAAATTGGTCTGAAAAATAAGTCTTGTTTTGGATATGATCCAGTCTTCAAAAATTTTGTAGACTTCTATAGTAAATGTGTGATGCTTTTGACTTGTGAAGAATGTGGATGCAAATTTCTTCCTCTTTGATCTTACACAATTTTGCACCTACAAAACAATTAACACCTTAGGTTAAGGCCAAGAGCCTCACGCGCCCACGATGAATGGTGGGGGCTTTGGCCGAAGAACCTCCGATGCCAAAGTTAGAATTTAGAGAGAAAGAGTGTTAAGAGAATTTTGGGATTTTTGCCAAAGTGTTGGAATGAGTTTTTGGTGAAAATAGGAGCCTATTTATAGGGCTAGTCTTGGCCACTTTTTCCAAGGAATGGCCGACCGTTGAAGGAGTTTTTGTGGTTGAGATTTTGGTTTAATTAGCCAATTTATTGGCTAATTAAACCTTAAAGAATAAATTGGTGGTTACATATTTATTTAGAATAAATTGATAATTAGGTTATGAAAAGGTTATAAAGAATAACTAAATAATTAGCTAAAAAGGGGAGAAAAGGGTAAGGAAAGTTAGGAAATAGGATGGATCCCTATTTAGGTCAGGTTTGGGAGTGAGGTGATTAAAAAAAAAGCTGGGGTGAAAAAAAGCTGGTAGCAATTTTGGTGTTTGGTAAACTTTGAAAAACAGCTTTATTTCAAAGTTGAGGGTGAAAAAAAGCCCAAAACCTGAAGCTGCAAATAGCAGCTTCAGAAAACAGCTTATTTTCAAAACACGGAGCTACAGTAATTCTTTTAATGAAAATTTCAAATTACCAATGTTGCCTTCGTTTCTCTCTGCCTTCTCTCTCGCACGCCCTCCTAGAAATCACAGAACATTCACACCCTCTTCTCTCTCGCACGCCCTCCTGAAATCGCCCTCTTCTCCTCTGTTGCCTGCAGTTGCACCTCTTCTCCTCCTCCTCCTTTTCCTCTCTCTCCGTCGGTCTCAGCGCCAGCCGTCGCCTTCCCTCCTTCTATCGCCGTCGCCTTCCCTCTTTCCTCTGGTAAGCTTCTCTTCTCTAAAATTTTGTTATTTATTTGTTTGGATTTTTTAATTTGGGGATGGGGAGAGTGAAAGAGGGGTGGGAAAGAGCAAAGGGATGAGTGTATGGGTGTCAAGAAAACTGGGGATGGAGAAAACAATTGGGGAAAAATTAGGGAAAAAATTAGGGTTTGTGGAGGAAACAAGAAAATTTGAGAGACAAGAAAATTTGTGCGCTGGGGAGAATGTGTATGCTATATGTGCAGAGTGCTCTGTGTGCTAGGGAGAATCCGGTTGGCTCACCGAAACAGAAAAACGGGTTCAGTGGTAGATTCATGTTTAGACCCAATTTTTAGATTATTGAATATATATGTCCAAGAAATCTTTGTGTTAGTAAGATTCCGAGAGTAGCAGTAGATTTCATTATCTTCTTAGTTAAGCGGTTTGATCTTCTTCTTCGCATCGATTTGGTTCTCTACCATCCCTCTTTCATTGTCTTCCGCAACTTCCTATCTTTTCCCCTTGGTTTGGGATGGTTTAGTTCCCGATTGGAGAGATTTTGAGTAGCTGTGAAAACGTACTCTTGGAAAAAATGAAGAAATGACCTTAAGGTGTTTACTTCTTTAACCAAAATGCCCTTCAAAATTTGGTCAAGTTATTTGTGTAATGGTAGAAAGTTCATGTGTCGAGCACCAAAAAATGTGTTCAATCAACACCTACAGCTGAAACTACCCTCGATTGTAAGTTTAAGACAAGAAAAGATGTGGACAGCCATCGACGTTTAGCCTCCAAATCAGGATTTCCTGTTTTGTAACCTTCACTTTGAGCCTTCAGATATATTCAATAACCATTCGAATATTTCATCTGTCTCAATCCCATTACACAAAAAAACTGGAGAACAATTGTAGCATAGCATGCGTATACGGTGAAAATTTCTTACAACACATTTCATTACCTCTGTTGTGTGCAAGAATTCTTTTGCACATAAGGTGCACTGCATGAATCTTAACTTATATTAATCTAGAGAAAACTTCTAGTAACTAGGCCTTATTACGTACAGCAGTAATGTTAAATTAATCTAGCCATCCTTAAGGAGAAAATATGCTATCACCGCAGGCACATTTCTAAACCTGTGGATAGTACTTGTTCTCTTCCAATGCCATTGCTCGGACAGATACTTGTATTGTATATCTGCACTGTGGTTTAAATGACACTCACATATAAGCAGCTTTAAGCACATATTGAAGCTCCAACTAGTTTGCAATGTTACTCTCTTGAAGTTTGTTTAAGGTGCTGTTTCTTGGTTATGAGATATAGTCTGAATGCTTTTGTTATGTCTTGTTGCAGACGAGTCTAATGTACAAATTGCACCAGCTTATGCCAAAGAGGGAAAATTTTCGATTGACTATATTTCCTGGACCTGTGGATCGTGCTTTGGTAGCAGCCTTGATTGTAATATTTCTCGATTGATCCCGGATTATAGAAGACCTGGCATTGAACGTTTTCAAAATTCTCAACGTTACAATACAACCTAACAAGGGTAGAATCAACCAGACGCGAAGACATGAAGTAGTTAAAGCCCCCGATACTTATCAACAGACCGATTGGTCAGTAGTTCATGATCTCTGGAACCATTTTTCCCGTTCAAGAGTTGGATTACATTTTGTTGTCAGCTATTAGGCACAAAACGGTGTACTTCAGCATCACTTTTTAAAGATCTATGATCAAGTAGCTTAGGTCTTTGCTGTTCTTTCAAAGAAATTGTGGTCTTCAGTGCAAATTCGATGATTTTTTGAAGTTTGCGAAGGGTTGAAACTGGCTAGGATTTTCCAGTTACTTGTCTTAGGTATGAACTACATGTTTCAAGTCGAGAAGTGCAGCAGTGGCAGTAGCTGCAACCTCTCAACCTTCTCTTACGATTTCTTTTTATTCCTACTCAAATTCTCTTTCACAGAATTTCGTGCTTATAACCGACACTTCTACGACCAAACATGCAGCAATCTCTCAATCTTCTCCTATGATTTCTTTTTGAATAATATGGTTGCTCAATGATAAGTATGAAATTTCTACTCAAAATTTTTCGTTTGCAGAATTTCGTGCTTATGATCCCGATCTATCATATCATACATTACTTTGTAAATATAATCTTTGTAAAAAAAAAAAATCAATTAAAACTAAGGAAAATTAACGAAAAGTTCAAAAAAACTTCTCTTTTAACGAAAAGCTTTTTTTAAGGGAACTTTAACGAAAAGCTCCTGGTACTGTTCACTTTAACGAAAAACCACATTTTTACACTAAAAAGTCAATCCTGGTACTATTCACTTTACCCTTTATTTTGTCCTTATCATTAAAACTCAAAGTTTTCAAGCTCTTTTCATTAGTTTTCTTTTTTTTAAAGGTAGTGAATAGTGCCAGTTAAAAGTAAAAATGTAGATTTTCGTTAAAAGTCAATAGTACCGGAAGTGTTTTGTTAAGAAAATTAAATTAATAGCACATCTAGTATTATACCTTTTTTGGACATTTCACACAGTCACAGCTGTTTTACATAAAAGTTTACCAAACACTATCATACAACTTTTTTTTTCCAAAAGCACTTTTACAAAAAAGTTTACCAAACACTTTGCTGCTTTATTTCACAGCCGCTTATTCTCACAGCACAGCCGCTTATTCTCACAGCAGCTTTTTTTCAAAGCACAGCAATACCAAACCAGCCCTTAGATGGGAATGGTCGGCCATTGATGTGGTTTTGGGGGTTTATTTGATATAATGGGTGACTTAATTGATATTTAATGGATTAATTGGGTAATTAATCCATTAATTAACCAATTAACATAATAATTTGGAGGTTACCTTACAAAAGGGAATTTGATGAGATAGACTTTGAATTGTTTACCTCTTTTGGAGCATCTTTGACTTTGTTGAAAAAAGATTGTCGATTGCTTACGCGTAGAGATCCCGGTGTACCTCAGGGGTATATTGGTCTTTTTTTGTCCAACAATCCACGTGTCGCCTTGTGATTATTTTTGGCTCCACAAAGAACACATCCACATGCTTCAATTTTAGTCCACTCAAGTGTGTGTTTGTACATTTTTGAGTTTTGAAGACACCTACACATGCACTGATATGCACAAGCTTCACTTTTTATTTCACTTGAGACTGCATTTTTAGTACATGATTAATTATATGGTTTATAAAACAGATTATATGGAGAAGTTTTAGGTCTTGGATTTAAGAGAGGTGGAAAGTGCCTGAGGGTTACATAGAAACAGCGGCAATGGCAGCACGTTATTCTGCAAAGTGATGCATTACAAGTGGTTCAAGCTATTAGCAGTCCTAGCTGTGGATTTTTTGCCATTGGTTTATTAATTGAGGATGTCAAAATTAGCTTGCAGAACTTCTCTACTGTGAGTGTAAGTCACAAACGTAGGTCCGCCACTTTAACAGCGTATAAATTGGCTAAGTTGGCCTTAATTTCTACCGTTTCTAGTCATTGTTTCGAGATGCCTCCGACTTCTATTCAGGATGCCATCCTTCTTGATTGAATAGGGACCGTGCATTGCCTTTATCCATAAGGAAAGGACCACACATATGGTATATGATATGCCCAAAAATTTCAGATCATGTCAACTTGGTCTATAGGGAGGTTGGACCATGACATAGAGATGTCAAGAACCCACGATCAGTGAAAGAAAAACCGACAATAGTCATCAACATTAGTTGCATAAAATGAGAGTGAATAAAAGACCTAACAGTGATAATCATGTAGGTAAAGACATATTAGTGGCTAATGAAATGGATAAAAAAGATACCAGTGGTTAATGAGAGTATTAGGCACGGCCAAGCCTTTTACCCACCCTATATATAGTTAATATTATGACTAATTTGGAACTGTTTTTAAAATGACTAAACGCGTTTTTTGTGAAAAAGTTTTCAAAATCAATCGTTAATAAAAATGCAAGTGAATTCTAAAAAAAAACACTTGAAGTGCTTCCTACAAGAAACACTTAATTGGTGCTTCCTACAAAAAGCACTTAATTGGTGCTTCGTGCATGACACATTTAAATGCAAACGAGCCGTTAGTGATTATTGTCAATTTTTATCCTAACAAATGAGAAAAAAATAACTGTCGTCTATTGGTTGTGTCTATATAATGTAACAGATGAGGGTTAATCTTTGATAGATTATCATTTTGCGTAGGGAAGATTCTTCGATGTTTAAAGATGATTACCATCCAATTAAACAGATTTTGTGGGAAGCAGAAAAAGTATTTAACATGTATGATTAAAAACCATTCACTTGCCACATGAGAAGAATGCATCATTACTTGAATTTGTGATGGTATTACACCCTGGAATCTCTGCACAAAATTGTTTCTATTTTGAGGGTCCATAACTGTTAGGAAGACTAAACCGGGTTAATACAAAGATTAAAAGACAATTAGTTGTTATCAATTCAAACTTTCATCCACTATGTCTGTGTATGATTCTGTTTGGAAATTTTCCCTTTTACCTTGTCATTTCTATTCTACAATATTGTGTGATGATCAAAGCTGTTCATTTTTCGAACTATCTTTAAAGGATCATTACTATTTAATCAAAGCAATAAGCTCGTCTATTAATTGATAACAGTAGGGATAAACAATTTACTTGATTGATAATGAGTCTAACAATCACTTGTTCTTTAAGTGTCTGTATAGTGCCAGTATTTGATCTCATGTGCTTTCTAAGTGTGGTTGTGATCCCCCACCTTTGGATTGGCATGAGTTATTACTTGGAATGCTAATAATTGGACGAGCCAGTCGTTGGATGTTACCATTAAGAAGTTGTGCCAAGCTATTGTCTATGCTATTTGGAAGGAACAGAATAACTGTAAATTAAGAAACGAGCACCTCCGCTCCATTGCTATCTTTAAAACCATTGTGATCTCTATACACTTGCGGTTATGTTATTTGCAAATTCCACTCTCTATTGCAAAAAAATGTGCCTATTTTTCAAGAATGGTTTCAGATTTTGATGATTTTTGGTAGACATAATTTTGAGGAAGACTTAAAAGCTAAATGTTTTGGATCGTTAAATTACATTACAAAGTGGGCCTCACAAAAAACATGTGTCGAAAGTTGTGTAAAAAAAGTAATGCTACAAATTCATCTCTTAACATTATATCATAAGTGCATGACATATCAATCATGTTGTTTAACACCTGAATTATTAACACTATCTAAACAAGATAAACGTGTATTTTTCGACCAAATCGTACAACAATTGCAATTCACCATCTAAAATCATGAGACTACAAATTTACAAGGAGATGAGATTGATGTCTAAGTCTAAAGCAAGAAATACAAAACAAGTACTGGTTCCACATTGTATGTGAATCTTATCCTGTTAAATTAATAGAAATGGTACCGCGTACTACACTCCCTGTCCAGATTACCCTACTCATCTCTTTCACGGTTGTACCGTGGACGTGAAAATGTACTTTGAAATCAGCTTCAGTATTTGATGCCTCTTCCAAATGAAGTAAAGGACTAAATTGTAGTAATGTTCTTTCAACTTTAATTAAATTGAAGCAATGATCAATCAACTAAAAATCTATTACTATTGGTCCCTTAACTCATCAAAATGTGTAGCTATAGTCATTTTCGTCAACTTCGTCAAAATTTTGTTAAAATGAGTTATATTAGAAGGATCATTGCTACAATTAAGGTCCCTCAACTCATCAAAATATGTAGCTATGGTTCTTTTCGTCAACTTCATCATAATTTTGTCAAAATGAGTTATGTTAGAATGACCATCGCTACAATTAGGTTAAAGTTGAAAGACAATTTCTCTAGTTTGATTAAAGTTGAGGGACTGATGGTAATGAATTTTTAGTTGAGGAACCATAACTATACGTTTTGATGAATTGAGGGATCAATGATAATGAATTTTTAATTAAAGAACCATTACTCTAATTAAGTTAAAGTTAAAAAATCATTACTGCAATTTACACGAAGGAAAAACCTCAATAATACGGACAAGGATTGTCTGCCCTCCTAGTTGTAGTGCCCTTCCATGCCCTCCTATTTTGTACGGTCACGGTTAAGCCACGTCAATATTTTATATTTTTATTATTTTTTGTCTTATTATCTCATTAAAAAATTAATATAAAATATTGATATGGCTTAACCGTGACCGTACAAAATAAGAGGGCATGGAAGGGCACCACAACTAGGAGGGCAGAGAATCCAAGTCCCAATAATACATGAGACATGGAAATATAATTGTACCTTTTAATTCAGCTCTTCATGTTAAACCAAAGTACTATGTACCCATATAATATTTTTCATGGGTCAAGTCACATTTTCGCTCGCGACACGACACAAATAAGAGGAATCTTTGCATCTGGGTTTTGCCAAAATGGGTTTTTGTAAGATATGATTTCTTCTTAGTGGACGAGTGACGTGGCATGACAAGAATTTCTCATAAATTAGATCTCATTTGGTCGAACGACTTGGATAACATTGGATTGTGATTTGATCATTGAATAAGACTAACTGGAATCTGACTATAGACTTGTTATGTCTCGTCTCTTTGACACTCAAGTCTCAATTAAGGAACAAATTGACCTTATTTATTTGAAAATTATTCCACAATCTTTGTGACACAAACGGCCATACTCAAGAATCTTTTCTGAATTAAGTTTCGTTTGATAAAGCATTTCGAATAACATTAAATCAAACTTTGAGTATTGCATACAATTAACTAAAATCCAACTAGACTTGTCATGTCTTGTTGACACTCAAGTCTTAGCAAGGAACAATTGGACCTTATTTTTGAAACCTTAATCCAACGTACAAGTCCGGTCCACAATCCTTATTAGTGCAACAAAA